CAAACTCACCAACTTTAGGCGGCATATATTCAATCTCGTCGTCGTCTTCGTCTTCCTCCTCTGCGATCGGCTCAGTCTCGACCGGAACCTCGAGATCCAAATCCCCAAGTTCCCAATGCCTATTCTTCGGATTCATGGGGGTTTGGAGTTGCAGCCCCTTCAAACCAAGAGGACCGAACCGTTCCTCCCCCTTCTCCTTATCACCGTCACCGACACTCAACCGACCTCGCAAGCTTTTTCGCGTCGAAGAGGGTCGCAAAAGAGCCGGAATCGGAGCAGCATTGGACGGCCAGAGCAACTCAGGTTCATCTTCTTCCAACGCGAACTTAACGATCTTGAATGTTTGAGGAGTGGGAGTAAAAAGAGGATCCTGTCGGTTGTGGTGAAACGGGGTCTTGTCACCCAAGACTTTGCTCGAGCTCTGTTCTATAACATACGACCACGAGTAGGTCCCAAAAGAGAACATAACCCGACGCGGAGGTTAGTGAATTGAGATTTGGGGAGGGGCGCGTGATGATGGTGGTGGAGAGGCAAAACGGACATACGGGTTTTACCATGAAACGGCGTCTGCTTTCCACCCAAAACGGCCCTGTGAACGGATTGTGCGTTCTCTCGTAGCGCACCGCTCTTCAACTGTCTACCAGGTGTCTTTGGGGCACCTTTCAATTGGTGGTGATGACCGGTCGCGTTTTCGAGGTGACCGGGGCGTATGGATAACATATCTGCTTGGACTCGAAAAACGATTGGGTTGGGTTCAACAACGGCGGTGCATATACAGAGACTGCGGGTTTATTTCTAGAGATATTCGGATGAGTGTCACAAGAACGTTTGAGAGTCGATAGTGGTGGTTTCTCAACAGGTGACGGAATGTTCAACACAAGGTCACGCCTCCAACGGGCAGCCACATTCGATCGCGACGCGTCTCCAAGTGATGAGTGTGGCGACGGCGCTTTTATAATAAACAAATATATTCCAGAAGATAGGACATGAAGCTCCAGAGAGAGCAAGTATTAACCCAGTAGTCCAAGAGAAAGAGAAGAGGATGGGTGAACCCAGAAGAAATAGAGATCCTTTAGAAAGAAACCAACGTCAAGACACACGTCTACTCTCGGGAGGCCCTGCTGGGACCGGTGACGGCACCCGTTCACGAGAGCAGCTCATCGATAGAGGGTAGCATCTCCTTGGCTTATTTGAGACAATCAATCTTCTTCCTGGATTCAATGGCAACAGGATCCGTCGACCACGTATATTCCCTCAGCTTCTCCGCCTTCTTCAACTCCACATCTACCACCGAGAGATACATACTGATGTCCAGATCGGTCTTCCCGCCCCCCTGAACGAGCTCCTTCGTAGTGCCCTCTAACTGCTCCTTAACCACCGGGATCGGCTCGTATACTTCAACCACAACATCGCCAGCCAGGGGTCCAAAGCAAAAGACTCATCCACGCCGTGAATAGTATCCATCAAATCTGGATTGTCGAGGTAACGGCGGAGAGGCTGAGTCGTCGGCAATGGAAGAGAAACATTCCGCTAGCTTCCATTTATTAGGAACGATATGTGGGCGCCACAGGGGAGAGTTGACATTCCGAACAGAACGGCGAGAACAGCCCCCTGAACGTCGTAAGTGTGCTCGATTCCTTCCGCGTTAGGGGCCCAGTCATGCAGAATTTCCTAATCTGGTCGACGTCCATAAATGGTTCGGGCGCATTGGACCGTTTACCGTCGATCAGAGGGAGGAAGAGTAAGGGAGCCTTGCGAAGTTGGAATGGTCGTGATCCTGATATGCATAACAGATACCACGGACGAACAACAACTGGGTGGGGTCAAACTTGCTGAGCACGTCCATTGTGGCCGGGCAGCTAACATATGTAAATGCACGTAGGGCATTCTGGATCGGTACTTCCCAATTCTCGTCGTTCTTGTGATCAGCTCGGAGTGGTGATCGAGGAGGGTGAGGATGTGACTAGATCATTCTGTAGAGCTCTATCGATCTCGTAATCAGTCGCTTCTGACCTCTGTAGGATTGCGGTAAGTCTACAGATCCTACTGATCTGAGGGTGGACTGCGCGACTGAAACAATAAAATTCAGCGAGAGGAAAATCATTTTCCAGTGCTCCACATACCTTTTATCCACCAGAAAATCATCGACGTAGATGCCGATCCCAAGAATCAGACCAATCGTCAGCAGAAAATCCGCAACGATGGCAGTGGACGGGGGAGGATGGCGGGAGAGCGTGTACTTGATGAAGCAGGTGACATCCTCGTTCAGCACACGATCAGTCCAAAGTATGTCCCAACCACGGTATAAGAGGATGTACGCCATCCAACTGTGACGAGTCGTGAATGTGAAGGAAGGACAGCCTTGGCGCTGAGATACGCACAGTCTGTGTACCGTGGGAGGACTATGGGACAGTAAAACTAGTCATCGAAACTTCCGAGCAGATCGTTGTAGATCCGTTCCCAATGGGATGGACCTCATGCTGCCGTGGCGGATTTCAGGGACGAATCTGACGATAGTCATCACCGTGTCGTAGTGGGTTGGTCTTTCGAACATTCAGGTGACACAATTGGAGTACACCACATAGCCGCATCAATCGATCTCTTTGTGACTGAAGGGAGGGTCTGGGTCTGTTGCCAGAGTCCGCATAGGGAGAACAACATGGTCTCGTAGGCGGCTTTCCGGGCAAGTTGTCCGCGGGCCATGCGTTCCGAACTAAGCGGCAGGTGAGGCATCGTAGTGTAAGAGAAAGTGGGGTGTGGAAGGGACAACCACCCACCCAAACGATGGGTCCCGTGTGATGTGGGGGAAATGGGATTCCCCACAACCACAAAACCCTGGGACCGGCTGGTCAACGTTATTGCGTACTTATCCTGCTTTTCCCAACCTTTTCTCGACTTTTCTTACTTATTCCAATCAAATAAGTAAACCTGAGGTTCGCTGATGTGTCAAAATAGAACATGGGCAAGGTTCCCACTGCGCAAAGGTGCCTATTTTTCATGATGCGGCGGAGTTCATGTGTGCCAATGTTTCGAAACTTGCTCTAAGTACCCATCATGTACTACGTACTCATCATGAGCCCGCGGTACTTCCTACGTAAATGGACCTACACAGGTCACAAGCGCCATGGAAGGGGGAAGGGGAGTGATGTCTGCTGTCGATAGACTCAACAAGCCTAGGGAAGTGGGCCAGCTCTTATATATCCCCCAAGGGTAGGACCAAATTCTGAGCAACTTAACAATAGGAAACAACATCGATAAAGCGGGTAGGTAGTACAGGGATCAACACAACGGAACCTGATAGGAGACTTATACACAGCGTGGGGTTGGCATGGGGACTTATCGGCGGTTCCATAAACTAGTAATTATCGGCCCTTTCCTGGCTGGCCCAGGATGCAGCCGATAACCAATCTACGCGTCCGGAGCGGGTAAGAGGCAGAAAGCATTGTAGGAGGTAGAGAACTCACGCCGAAATGTGACATCAACTTGTTCAAGTTGTCCAGGCGGGCCTCTGAGGGAATCTTCTTGTCACTAATAGCTGTTTCCAGCCCGTACTCCTTCATGAGAGCCATCGAGTCCTTCAGCGAGAAGTTGATAAGGGCTCCGAACGTTTCCGGGAACCCTGAGGGTGGCGAAGGGTTATAACCGCCAACAGGGCCAATGCTCGGCGAAGACGTAGGGGACCGCTGGATTTGGAACTCGACAGAAATAGGGCGGTAGATCGGCGCAATACGTTCATGGGGGAATCGCGATTGGATTGTGGCGTTCTGGTTTTTCGCCTCGCTGCCACAGTAATGAGAATATTAGATCAAACGGCCACGAATAGGGTTGACTAACATATTGCTGAGGAATACTCGGCTTCGCATGGTGCGACCTTTGTTCCCTTGGAGTATTTTCTGATAAGGCTGCATAAGTTCCGTTACCTTTGAGAACAGCGTCAACGGAACTTTCTAACAGCTTCGATGTCGAAACCCACCTGGGTTTTGACCCTTTCCTTGACTTTTATGACAACGATGTCCCTGATGATCCTCCCCAACTGTTCGTTTATAGTCGCCACAAACTTTTGTTTCTCCGCCTCGATCATTCCCTTGATGGCGCGGATCTTATCTTCTCGTTTCTGCGCCTCTGCTGCCAAACGGCTTCTCGCTTCGTCCACCTGGGTGGTAAAACAGATTAGTATCAGAGATCCTAACGACCGTCGTGTGTGGCACACCTGATCTTTCCCGGTTAAGAATGGCGAGACCTCTGTCATCCTGGACGCCTCTCTTTCAACCAAATCGTAGATTGGACCTAATCGGGACAGAACCGATCTCAAGACCGCGGCATGTTCAGCAACGCCCCGGACGCTTGGAGAAAGCCCATCCAACAGCGCAGGATCGTTCGGGATATCCGTATTAACCTTTATATCTCTTATCGTTACCCTGGGGGGGGTGTCTGTTGTCGGAGTTGGGAGGGCGCTGGTTGTATTCGATCTAGAGTGCTTGATTGCAGCCGAAAAGCTAGCACTCGTGGGTTGATTATGTTTGCCCTTTTTCATGGTCTGATGTGAACTGTACGAAGGGATGGAGCGGTGATGAAGGTGAACTGTAGGAAGGAGGAGTCCAGGGGGGAAGGGAGAACGCGCGTAGAAGGTGTGGCTGGGGCCGGAATGAAAACTGGACTTCCTCGATGATTGTGGGAGATTTATAGTAAATGATGGGCGATACCCGATTTGTTCCACGACGCCTCAACGTGCAGTCGCCATTGTAAAGATACTCGGAAATGAAGCCCAGAACGGAAACCGCCGACAGGAAGACCAGCCACACATTCTTCGAGCTTCTAGATCGTTCCGGTCACCGGCACGAGGAGCCGAGGTGGTAGAGAACGACTGGGAATGTACCGTGAGTCGCTGGGATGAGAGATATCATGAAGGCTGGAGGACAACGCCACAAGCAGCCGAGGCTTCTCCCTTTGTCTTTGCCCTCCGGTATGTTTGTGTATGTCATTTTTGGAAAAATAAACATGGTCGATTAGCTCAGTTGGTTAGAGCGTGGTGCTAATACGAAGCTGAGGCTCGTTTACGCCAAGGTCGCGAGTTCGAGACTCGTATTGACCAGCTTTTTGCCCAACTGGTTTGGACACTCGCCGCATACGCCCACTTGTTCTGTACGAGATAGACCCACAATTTTGTTGCTCGTTCGCCTGAAAAGTTCTGACCCGGAAATGGACGTCCCAGCTGGGCTGACGTCATTCCTGAGGTTGGTGATCGTCATCCATGATCGAGAAACTCGTATCATGAGGAACACTACTCGATGACCACTCCAAACCCCTCACTTTACTGCCCTCATCTCACGCGCCATGGGTGTCTGTTCTTCCTGCTGTAGGAGTGAAGAGTCCCCAGAAAGGGAGCCTCTGTTGCCAAGATCTGGACACCGAGACCGTGACGAAACAGCTACCCGGCACACGGACAAGGTCGCAGATATTGTAGGGGCTCTCGAGGCCGGTCGCCTGCCCTCCCAGGCCCAAATAGACCACGCTTTCCGAGGGTTATTAAGTTCGGACCTTCTGAAAGTCGAGGACACGGACGGACATTTACCGCCGTCGCTCAGGAAAGAGCTGGTCGTTATACTCAACGATGTCAACGATGTCGTCGCCGCAATGCTTGAGGTTGGCGTAGAGAAAAATGGTTCGTTTACCTCACTTCTGCATTCCGCATTATTCAAATAGGAAGAAATAGCGGACGACAAGTTACAGGAATTACTGTTCTTGACCAAGCGGGTTTCGACCGAGTCTGCTAAGGCTTTCGTCGCTGTTGACGCTATGGGTGGTCCAAGTTCTGTACCTCAGGAAGTTCAAGAGGCTAGTAAGGGTCCGTTCCCTATCCACTTCCACGCCCACGCTTATCTCGACTCGTAGTTGAGCATCTACCATCCGTTCCGGAGGTTCAGGAAGACGTTGGAGAACTCGCGGAAGCTGTCAAAGACCTCGCCCAGCTAACGATATTCTCCTCAACCTTTCGGTTCATTCTAAGGGACATCTTCACTTCTATGAGAGCTATCCTCGCTCAGGGCATTGCGGCCGTGGGTGAAGTAGCTTCCGAGATACAAATCGCTGCGAACATGGTGGAGCCTCTGATTGATCCCAAAAACGCCCTCTCCACTACATTGGATCAGCAACTTTCGACCGTAGTCGGGGAAGCTGCGTCAAGCACCGTCCAAGTCATGAGTTTGGTCGGGGATAAGGTCACTGATCAGACTAAGAACATTGTGATCAACAGGATTCAAGAAGTGAGTAGCTGCACGGCTACCGCCATAACCAATTCCATCTAACGCATCGACTCACAGACAATGATCCGAGCCCATTCTTCCCCGAAGTACAAATCGGCTCTTCGAACGATCCTCGTTTTATTACAAAAATACAGCGAGCGGGTTTCAGAAGTTGTTTCACCCGCGACTGTGGATGTTACTGGAGTAGAGCAAGCCGAGATAAGATTGGAGCCCAAGTTTTGGACCGATGAATCGCTCTCGATCGTTCTGGCGGACGTGAAGATTCTCCTCGAGAGGTTCGCCTCGGGGAATTCTCTTGACCCTCTCATTCGAACGCTTCGTGCATGCGTACAGGACCTTGTCAGTTCCTTGGCCGGCTCTGGTCTTACGGAGTACTTTGCTGACTTCGGAAGCTGGGTTGACCAGTCCCTGAACGACCCGAAGTACTCCGTCTCTCGTGCAGGTCACCAGAAGGTCGACGATCTCTACGAAAGAGGTCATACCTTATTCTCTGAAGATACGGAGTTCGGGCAGGATATTCGGTCGCTCTTCCGTCTTGCGGAGGATTTCCTTCATGGTATCTCCCAGGATCGTACCACCAATTGGGTCATCGGCGCGATGGACAAACTCTCCGCAGATTCTGCCAATCTGTTCCAGGAGCAACCATATCGGGTAGGGAGAGAGCTCAGGAGGGATCTGTTCTTTTGGCTCCTTCCTCGGTTTCTCCGTATAATACGCAACCTTCCTATGCCTCGGGTCGAATATATCAACGATGGGGTCGAAGTTGCCCTTGATTCCATTGTCCTCAACTCCTCCACTACCCTCAGGTCCCTGATGCCTGACTCGATCCACATCATAAACCATAACGACCTTCACATCACTCAGCACGACGATCCGTACTGCAAGAACTTCGTTCGCGTGCGCGTAGAAGGACTCAGGATGGCCATCCAGGACTTGGAGTACTACCTGCAATACAAAGGACTCATCGGATACGAGGACGAAGGATTCATCAGCATCGATGTAGGAGACGATCGAGGCCAAGGCCTTAGCTTTGATATTGATCTCGAGTTCAACACGGATATTGACCCTACCAAAGTCGACTACGGGTTCAAAGTCTTGAAGGTTCACACAGCTGTGTCGGGACTCCGTTTTTCCATCAACGAGAGCAAACACTGGATCCTCAACAAAGTACTACTTCAGCATTTGGCAGGACCTGTCGTTCGAAAGACGTTCGAGCACGTCGCCTCCGGGTGTATCAGAGATGGACTCGAGGCTATCTCGCGGATCGCCGCTGAAATAGAACGAGGCGCAGCGGAAACGGTCGCTCCTGGGCTCAGACCAGATTTCAACCACTACTGGAGCGCTGCTCTGAAGTGCCTCCATTTTTTGAGTCAACATCATTCTCCCCACCCAGGAGAATCGCCAGAGTACGCACCAGAAGTAACCACACGCACGGAGGCAACCCTCAGGGGCATCGTTCGCACCACAGAGACCGAACCGGTATCGAACGGTGATGCAGCGGAAGAATCAGAGGTCACCACTATGGCGGTCGGGGTTACTCCACAGATCTTACCGGGAAAAGCCGTCACGTCAGCCAGTCGAACGGACGAACTTGCCCACGAAGCACGTAACGTGATTGAGGAGGTTGAGAGTACCATCGAGCAGACAAGGAAGACAGCCGAGGAGTTCGCAGAAAGCGTCCCGGACGAGTTAGAAGCTAGAGCGGTTTACGGTAACACGATGAGAAGGGTAAGCGAGAGGAAGAATGTGAAGATCACCGGCCACAACGACGGATGGAGGAGCGATACGTTTAACCTGTGGTAATATCGACCCGCGCTTGTTTGCGAAGGCTGAATCTGGGTTTGGCTAAACCTGGACTACCGTATTCTATTCTTATGTGTATCGTGTATTTTGTAGTCACGTTTGCACTCGTAAAAAAAAGACGAAGGCATGTGCATGATCTCCGCCCCCTCACATTCTGGTCGCGGCGCTTGTTGGTTATCCCACGTGATGTGTTGAACTTTCTAAAATGGGTGATCTCGCCGGCCGCCGAGGACTCTGCAAACGTACTTCTGAACCTGATGTGTCCGTTATCAGGTATTCCCTGCCTAATGTAACCAAACGTTCAGCTTTTTTTTTCATTTGCAGGCGCACTTGGGTACTCAATATTCACGACCGGTGACCGGTGACGGAGCCCTCACAGGTCAACTACGGGCTTCAAATGACTTAGGAGTTCGGATGTGTCGTATCGTCCCTAGGGGGATCTCCCGAATCCCCGATGTGGCTGCGTCCCCCAGAGATCCATAGGAGGTACGGTTTCCTTCTCTGCGACCACGACACTCACAGCATCATTCGAAATCTC